TAGTAAACAGCATAGTAATTTTATCATTTTAAAATTTTTTATTAAATCTTTTTTAACATATTTTTTATTTCAGAGAGAAAGGGAGAGGGAGGAAGAGATAGAAACATCAATAATGGAAAGAGAGGCATTGATTGGCTGCCTCCCACACACCCCCTACTGGGGATGGAGCTCGCAACCCAGGCATGTGCCCTTGACTGCAATCCAACCCAGACTCTTCAGTCCATAGGCCAACGCTCTATCCACTGAGCCAGACCAGCTAGGGCGGCAGCATAGTCATTTTAGTTAACAGCATGATATTATGTATTTGAAAGTTGCTAAGAGATATGAACTGTTCCTACCAACAAAACAAAAAAAAATGGTAATTATGTGAGGTGATGGCAGTGTCAACTAGCATTGTAGTGGCAATCAATCATATCACAATGTATAAATGTATCAGATCAACGCATTGTGCACCTTAAACTTACATAATGCAATATGTTAATTATATCCCAATCAATAAAAGTAAAAAGGAATGAGGTGCTGCCCTGACAGGTGTGCTCCATGGTTAGAGCATTGGCCCAAACACGGGACTTGATTCTCAGGTTTGATTCCTGGTCAAGGGCACGTACCTGGGTTGCAGGTTGGATCCCCACCAAGACCAGTGGATGTGTCTCTCACATTGGCCTCTCTTTTCTCTCTCTCTCTCTCTCCCCCCCCCTTCCACTCTCTCTAAAAATCAATGGAAAAAATATCCTCAAGTGAGGATTAACAAAACAAAAAAAAAGGAATGAGGTGCTGATGCATGCTGCAACACAGATGAAAACATTATGCCAAGATGCAAAAGACCACCTGTTAAGTGGTTCCATTTCTATGAAATTTCCGAGAAAGTCAACCCTGTAGAGACACAGAGTAGATTGCCTGGGGGCTGGTGGTAAGAAATGGGGTAAACTGTAAAGGGGAATTTGAAATCTTAGTGGAACTGTGGAAGGTTCTAAAACTGGATTGTGGCAATGATTGCATAAATTGGGAAACAGTAAAAGTCATTGAATTATGCACGCACAAAACTCTTTCTAGGAAGTTTTTTCTGAGTGCCTCCTCAGACTCTACTGCTGGTGTGACTGTCATTCTATGTCGGGAATCAGCAGGCTTTCTCTAAAGGCCAAATACTAAACGACTGGAACTGGAGAGCATTATGCTAAGTGAAATAAGCCAGTCAGATCGCACTCCTTTGTGGAATATAGAGAACAACATAGACTGATGAACGGGGACGGATCCAGAGACGGAGAAACAGTGATCAGACTGTCAATTCCCGGAGGGAAAGTAGGGGAGGGGGAGGGTAAGGGGAAGAGATCAACCAAAGGACTTGTATGCATACATATAAGCCAAACCAATGGACACAGACAACAGGGGGATGGCATGACGGGGGGGGGGGTTAATGGGGGGATGAGGACACATTTGTAATACCTTAACCAATAAAGAAATTAAAGATTAAAAAAATACTAAATGACCAAGACACTGGGTCTCCATTGCGACTACGCAATTTTGCTCTAGTTGCAGAAAATCCCGACTCCTGGGGGATATCATCGGGTGAGAATTAAGAACTCAATAATCCAACCTTGTGGTCTGTACTCCTAAAAGCTGAAGCCAAAACAGCTTGAGAGCAAAGAAATGTTAAGGAGTGTGCCTGGAAATGGTTCTTTAACAAAAATAGTCATTGTTGTGTTTAAGGTCTCCATTTGTGGCTCTGGCAGATGGAGATAGATTAGATATAGATTAGATAGATGGGTGGATGGGTGGATGGTTGATGAAGGAATAAAGGATCATGGATAGAGGGTGGATAATAAATGGACGGATGGAAGGATGAATAGACAGATGGATGATGGATGGATGGATGGATGGATGGACAATAGATGAATGAATAGATGGATGGTGGATGGATAGATAGACAGGTGGATGATGGATAGATGGATAGACAGACAGATGGGTAGATAAATAGTTAGATGAGCGGATGGATAGATGGATAGATGATGGAAGGAAGGAAGAAAGGAAGGAAGGAAAATAGATGGATGGTTGGATAGATAATAGATGGATGATAAATGGGTGGATGGAAGGATGATGGACATATGGATGATGAATAGATGGATAGACAGATGGGTAGATAGATAGTAGATGGATGGATGGATGGATGGATGGATGGATGGATGGATTGGTTGGTATGGATATTTTTCCCTAGTGTCAGAGACAGGAAACCCTATCTAACTACTTTTGACCTGTCTGCCTCTGAGTAGAGCATTCAATTATCTTCTAAGTTCTGGAAAAACCCCTTCTTTTCAGCCACAGACACCTCCAATTACAACCTCTACACCATGTTACCCTACGTTGATGGTGGACACACACACACACACACACACACACACACACACACACACACACACAGGCTTTTTCTTTCCTTGCTTATGGTGCCAGACTTCAGTAAGTAACTCAAATAAACATGTGGGGGGATCCATCCTTACTTCTTCCCTTTCCTATAAGCCCCAGAATCAACCACTCATTACATCTCTGTTGTTTCTAGCCCTGGCTCTGTAGCTCAGTTGGTTAGAGTGTTGGTCCTGATATGTCAAGGTTGTAGATTCAATTTCCAGTCAGGGCACACACAAGAATCAACCAATGAATGCATATATAAGTGGAGCAACAAATCAATGTTTCTCTCTCTCAAAATAAAATTGATGAATAAAAAATTTTCTATAGAATTCAGCTTCATCTCAATCATAAATTTCTGTTGTCGGATTATACCAATGGAAGCTATTTATGTTGACTTGTTTTAAATTTTACTATTTTTATTGATTTTAAAAAGAGAGGAAGAGAGAGATAGCAACATCGATGAAACTTGCACACCTCCTACTGAATTGAGCCCACAACCCAGGCATGTGCCCTAACTGGGAATCAAACCTCAACCTCCTGGTTCATGGGTCGAAGCTCAACCACCGAGCCACGCTGGTTGGGCTTGATTTTTTTTAAATGAGAGTCAGGTTAGAGTGTGAGCTTCAGGATGATTTTGAGGGCTGGTGAACAAGCCTGGAGAATCCTGGTCAGGGATGCCCTGATACTCCCACAGGCCAGGTCTGATGTGGGCACTGCTGATCCTACCACAGACCACACATGCTACAGCCTCATTGCTGCTCTGTCATCAGCAGGAGCTTTGCACCCTCGCAATTAGTCACCAGCAGCTCTAGCCCAGCATCCCACCTGCAACCAAGAGGGGCAATGGGAACTCCACCTCAATGCTCCTATACTTCCTTGAGCCATGGATCTCATGGAACGGAGGCTGGGGAGAGAACGGCCTAGCATTTACTGCTCCCCTGGGAGGGAAATGTCATTCTTACACTCCAGTAAGAATTATTTTTTTAATCTTCACTGGAGGATATTTTTCCATTGATTTTTAGACAAAGTGGAAGGAAGGGAGGAGGGGGAAGGGAGAGAGAGAGAAGTAGAGGGAGAGAGACAGCGCCCCAGCCAGTTTGGCTCAGTAGATAGTACATCGGCATGCAAACCGAAGGATCCTGGTTTGATTCTGGTCAAGGGCAAGTACCTCAGTTGCAGGCTCCTGGCCTGGTCGGGGGCATGAGGGAGGCAACCAATCCATGTGTCTCTTTCACATCAGTGTTTCTCTCGTCTCTGTCTCTCCCTTCCAATCTCTCTAAAAATCAATGGGGGAAAACATGCCCTTGGGTGAGGATTTAAAAGAAGAAATTATTTCTTTCCTGTTCATTATCCTGTGATTGTCTTACCCCATCCACTACTTAAAAAGATTAAAGTGGGGCCCTAACTGGTTTGGCTCAGTGGATAGAGTGTCCGCCTGCAGACTCAAGGGTCCCAGGTTCGATTCCTGTCAGGGGCATGTACCTTGGTTGTTGGAACATCCCTAGTGGGAGGTGTGCAGGAGTCAGCTGATCGGTGTTTCTCTCTCATCGATGTTTCTAACTCTCTATCCCTCTCCCTTCCTCTCTGTAAAAAATCAATAAAATATTTTTTAAAACGGGAAAAAGAAAAAAAATTAAAGTAGGGCCCAGAATATACAAATCAGATTAGACTAACAGCAGGGCTTCTTGTTTCTTTTTCTTTATTTTGGTTTGTTTTCATGGTTTTTGGGGTGTTTTTGAGCTATAGTGGCAACATTTATTAGTGAGCCCTTGACAAGGCAGCCACAGTGGGCGAGGCACTACCGGGGCGGGTCCAGCAGTAGGAGCCGGTGGACCTTGGGGATCTGCCCCCCAGAAACACGGCACCTACATCTCCTTCTGCTCTGACAGCAATTTGAGGTTTAGATGGTTAATGACTTCGTGCTGTCAGCTGTGGCTGCAGGCCTCCCAGAGGAACTGGGAAAAGGGATGTGGACCCGCCTTCGCTTTCCCTTTGGGGGCGGGGCCACGCCCACACTCCCTGGAGGGCGGGGTCACATTCACACAAGTCTGCCCAGCATTCCTGAGGCCAGCAGCCAGCCAGGACCCAGGATCATGTCCCTGGTTCTTCCCACCCTGCTCTACCTCGGTGAGTCTGGACAGAAGGGCGGGCAGGAGGGTGGTTCTGTAAGGCTGGGCTGTGCTCACCTGTGTTTCCTTCCAGGGTTGTATCTAACCCAGAGCAGTTGGGTTCAGGAAGGTGAGTATTCCCTTTAATATTCCCAATGACTAAGTAGGGTTTGGCCAGATTTGAGCTCTTGGGGGCTGGGAAGAGGGGTCCTGGCCTTTAAATTTGTGGCTGTAAGAGGGAGGATGTGGCGGATGGCATGAGAAACAGACACACCTGTAAATATATTACCCCTTCTCCTAGGAAATCTCCCCCCACCTGTTATCACAGCTCAGCCTGGATCCATGGTTCTATATAATGAACCAGTGACCATCCTGTGCCAAGGGCCTCCAGACGCTGAAGCCTACGAGATATATAAAGTGGAAGAACCTGAGTCTAGGGACAGAAGGAAATTACTGGTAGCTGGGATGACCGATACTTTATATATACAAGAGATGAAACCAGACCAGACAGGACTATACCGCTGTTCCTACAAGAGTGGAGAGCACTGGTCCCTGTTCAGTGACCCCCTGCGTGTGGTGATGACAGGTGAGTGGGACCGGGGCAGCAGGACCAAGAGGGACCTCTTTGCAGATACAGAGATACAGAGCAGGAAGCAGCAAAGTCTCTGGGAAGGAATCAGGGATGATGCAGAGACACATTCCCTCAGGGCGGGATATGGAGGGGATAGAAGCCAGAGCCACATCTGCTCCCGGGGAACAGGAAAGCACAGCACATGGACATGGCTTCCCCTTTATCAGCAAACTTCCTTCTTTCTCAGGAACTTTTGACAAACCCTCACTCTCAAGCATGAGTGGCACGGTGGTGGCTTCAGGAGACAACGTGAAGTTACAGTGTTTCTCCAGAATCAGATTTCAAGCATTTATTCTCACCAAAGAAGACGCACCTCAGTTCACCCAGAGACAAAGCTCCACAACCCAGGACAATGGAGTTCAGACCACCTTCCACATGGACCATGTCACCTCCACACAGGCAGGGACCTACAGATGCTACGGTGCCTTCAGCAAAGACCCGTATGTGTGGTCTCACCCCAGCGACCCACTGCAGCTTGTGGTCAGAGGTGAGGAAGGCCCTCCATCCCCACGTCCTCTTCTGGAGATGACACTGTCCACTTAGGGAGTGACTGGAAGAAAGAGAAGAGTCTGGTGGGTAACCCTTGGCAATAACCATCTGCTTCCACAAAAGCCACAAGCACCCCACCTGCACACACCACACAGGCCTCCTAGAAATAGCCAGGGGAAACACTCTTTGAAGCATATGATTATCTAACCACTAGGTTGTACACCCTAAAATAATACCAAGTGATAGTGAATGTAAACTGTAATTGGAAATTTAAAAAGTTTTTAAAAGCCTGAGCTGTTCTCTCCCAATGTTTCCTCCCAGGGTTGTATCTAGCCCAGAGCACTCAGGCTCAGAATGCTGAGTATCCTTTTAATGTTCAAGGACTCAGTAGGGTTTGACCAGGTATCAGCTCCCTTGGCGGCTGGGAAGAGGATCTTGGCATTTAAACTCCTGGCTGTAAAAGGGGAGGAAGTGGATGGTGGCATGAGAAATAGACACACCTGTAAATTTATTCCTTTCTTCTAGGAAGTCTCCCCCCACCTGTTATCACAGCTCAGCCTGGATCCATGGTTTTATATAATGAACCAGTGACCATCCGGTGCCAAGGGCCTCCAGACGCTAAAGCGTACAAGATATATAAAGTGGAAGAACCTGAGCCTACGGATGGGAAGAAATTACTGGTGACTGGGAAGACTGACACTTCAGCTATCCAAGAGATGAAACCATACTGGACAGGACTGTACCGCTGTTCCTATAAGAGTGGAGGACACTGGTCCCCACTCAGTAACATCCTGCATCTGGTAATGACGGGTGAGTGGGATCCAGGCAGCAGGGAGGGACCTCTTTGCAGCAGGAACAGCAGGAAAACCAGGCTCTGAGATACGGAGCAGGAAGCAGCAAAGCCTCTACCTCCAGGAAGGAATCAGGGATGATGCAGAGACACATTCCCGCAGGGCTGGACATGGAGGGGATAGAAGCCAGAGCCACATCTACTCCCTAAAATAAGAAGGGACAGTGCATGAATGTGGCTTCCCCTTTATCAGCAAACTTCTTTCTTTCCCAGGATCTTATGACAAACCCTCACTCTCGAGCATGAGTGGCACAGTGGTGGCTCCAGGAGACAATGTGACGTTACAGTGTTTCTCCAGAATCAAGTTTTATTCATTTATTCTCACCAAAGAAGATGCACCTCAGTTCACCCAGAGACAAAGCTCCACAGCCCAGGACAATGGACAGCAGACCACCTTCCACATGGACCATGTCACCTCCACACAGGCAGGGACCTACAGATGCTACGGTGCCTTCAACAAAGACCCCTATGTGTGGTCTCACCCCAGTGACCCATTTCAGCTTGTGGTCAGAGGTAAGGAAGCTGGTCCATTCCCACATCCCCTAGTGGAGATGACACTGTCCACTTAGAGCAGTGACTGGTAGAAAGCCATGTCCACACTGTCAGCTTCCATAAAAATTATGAGGACTTCACCACTCACCTATCATACAGGCCTCTGACACATGCCCAGGGGCTGGGAGAGCATGTAGGTCGTTGTGAATCTGAGGAGACGGAGCCTGAGCACAGGTAAAGAAACCACCCCCATTTCATCCCCATTTGCAGAAGCTGCTGACAATCCTGATCCCACAGAATTTAGCTGTCCTCATGGTGAATAGCTGGTAGTCTTTTTTTTTTTAACTGTAAGGAGACCATTTATTGAGTAAGTGAAAGTGGTAGAAGAAGTAAGTCCTAGAAGAAAGGGGCTTAGGAAACAAGTTGTGGAGGTAAAACAAGGGCCTGTGGAGTTTGGCAGTGAGGAACCTAGTGGTATTGTGCCTGGAAGGGGAAGCAGGGAAGGAAAAGGGAGACGGAAGGAAATGTCACAGGTGGGCTCTCTGAGTGGAGAGCGCCAACAGGTAGTCTTTGCAGAAGGAGCAGGAAAAGTGAAGGAAGATTAGGTGCAAAGGGACTGAGGGAGAGAGAAGCTTCGACTAAAGACACAAGGAATATCAGAGAGTCCTTTCCCCATCAGCTGAGTCAATAGTTTGCAGAGGGGCATCCCAAAGGACCAGGCAGGGCTCCCATGGAGAAGACTTAAAGCTCCCCACCCAGTCCCCACCCCTGCCTTTCATGACCCCAGAATTCCTTAGTGCAATCACCACAGGGCTCATAATGACCAGAAGAAAGAAGGCAGATATTGCTTATGCAGAAGGTGGCTGGGCAGCGACCTCCCAGATCCAGGAGACTGGAGACATGAGCTCAGGTGGAGGACACCTTCCTGCGATGGGCTTGGGCTCCTCCTCTGTGACCTCTGTCCTTTCTCTCTCAGGACCTGCTGGTTGGAGTGTGTCCCCCCAGAACCAAGTCCGGCTGAGCCTGGCTGGCCTGGTTCTCTTGGTCCTGGTGGTCCTGGTGGCGGAGGCCTGCTACAGCCACAAGAGGTCCTTCTATGGACTCAGATCAGATCCTTACCTGAGCATCATGACAAACACCGAGGATACTCGTGGCTTCTAAGGACAGTGTTGACCTGAGGGGCGGGTGACCGGAGGAAACCAGGTGCTGGCTGTGTTGTCTACCAGATGATGGGGTGTGTCCGTCTCCTGCAGAATCGGTCACAATGTCCCAACATCACAGTGAATTAATGCAGTACTAATAGGTCTCTTGGAGGTCAGAAGAGAAAATGCCTAAAATGTGTCCACTGGCCTGCATGGCTTTTGTTATAACTTATCTTTTATTGTTGGAAATATTACAGATGTTCCTTACTTTTCCCATGGACCCCCTCCAACCTGCATCAATGCCCCACCCAGGCCTTCACTGCATTATAACCTGTGTCCACAGTTTTAGCATATGTGCAGATAAGTTCTTCCCGACCCCCAACCCCCTTTGTCTGAGACTCATGCTTCTATATCTCTGGATCTATTTTGTTCATCAGTTTATTTTGTTCATTAGATTCTACCTATGAGTGAGATCAGTGGTACTTGTCTTTCTTTGACTGGCTTAGTTCACTCACCATAAAAAATTAAAAATGGAACTTCCATTTGACCCAGTGATCCCACTCCTAGGAATATATCCTAAGAAACCCAAAATACCAACCAGACAAAACATATGCACCCTATGTTCATAACAGTGTTATTTACAATAGCTAATATCTGGAAACAGCCCAAGTGCCCATCAGCAGATGCGTCGATACAAAAGCTGTGGTACATTTACACAATGGAATACTATGCAGCTGTACAAAACAAGGATCTATGCTATTTTTCATGAAATTTATTGGGGTGACATACTATATAATAAAAGCATAATATGCTAAGTGTCCGAATGATTGGTCAACTGTTCGGTCGACCACTCAACCAATCGCTATGATGCACACTGACCAACAGAGGGGCAGATGCTGTGACAAGAAGTTAGCTTGCTGCTGGGGCCCAGCCAATCAAGACTGGACGAGACAGACTGAACATGCCCTGGAGCCAACCTCCCACAGTCCCTCCCCGGCTGGCCAGCCCCCATCAGCCCTGATCCAGGACTGGGCAAGATCGCCCCAATGGGCCCTGATCACCGGCCAGGCCAAGAGATCCCACCGGTGCACAAATTCCTGCACTGGGCCTCTAGTTAGTTAATAAGATTATATAGGTTTCAAATGAACAATTTTATGATACATGATCTACATATTGCATTGTATTGTATACTTCTCAACCATGAGAACAGATTAAATACTGCCATTTGTGACAACATGGCTAAAATGTTGGACCTTGAGAATATTATGCTAAGCGAAATGAGTCAGTCAGGAAAAGCTAACAACTGTATCATTTCACTCACAGGTGGGATATAAAACTGAAACTCACAGGTGCAGACAAGAGTGTGGTGGTCATCAGAGGGAAGGAGTGGAGGGGTAGTAAAGAGTAAAGGGGACCACCCAGCCGGCAGGGCTCAGTGGTTGAGCATTGACCAATGAACCAGGAGGTCAGGGTTCAATTCCCAGTCAGGCTCCATCCCCAGTGTGGGTGTGTAGGAGGCAGCCAATCAATGATTCTCTATCACCATTGGTGTTTCTCTCTCTCAAAAATCAATTAAAAAATACATTTCTTAATAAAGTGGTAAAGGGGACAAAGTAGATGGTGACCTAAGATGATTTGACTTTGGGTGGGTATGGAGGCTCCTCAAAAAATGAAGAATAGAGTTATTGCCTGGCTGTGTGACTCAGTTGGTTGAACCTCATCCCTGGCACCAAGAGGTCACTGCTTCAATTCCAGATCAGGGCACATGCCTGGGTTGCAGGCCGCCTGGCTGCTGTGGCTCAGTTGGTTGAGCGTCATCCTAGGCACCAAGAGGTCACTGGTTCAATTCCAGAACAGGGCATAGGCCTGGGTTGTAGGCTCCATCCTCAGTAGGGGGTGTGCAGGAGTAGCTGCTTGATGTTTCTCTCTCTCGCTCCCTTCCTTTCTCTCTCAAATCAATAAAACACAGATGAGAGAGAAAGGTGGTATAAATGACTCAAAGGTAGTTGGATGATAGACAAATATAATAAATTACATACATACATGGATAGTTACAATAGATATATACATGATAGAAAGGTAGGTAGATGAGAGAAAGAAAGCTGGTATGGAAGATAGATAGATATAGATATAGATATAGATATAACAGAAAATAGATGATAGATAAAAATAATAGATTTTAGATAGATACATATTAGTAACAGATGGAAATATACATGATAGTAAGTTAGGTAGACAAAAAATAAAGAAAGAGACACAGAAATACAAAGGCATATTTTGTCCCAGTGTCAAAGAAAAGAAAGTCTTATCTAACCATTTTGACTGTCTGCTTCTTCATCTTGGTCGGAATCTTCCATTATCTTCTTAAACCTGAGAAAAATCCAATTTCTCATCTGTGATTCTCTTGCCTTACACCCTCTGCTCTATGCCCAGGCCATACACAAATGGCACAAACACAAGTCTCACTTCATCAGCTAATTGAACCGGTTGTGGTGATGCTGGGGTTAAGCTTAGATGGATGTTGACTGAAACACCACAACAACAGGGAAACCCTACAAGCAGTAGGAAATATTTCTGAACGTCAAGAACCAGGTAGGATTTCTCATTGTTTACAGTGTCCTCAGGGTGTGATGAACGAAGACATGGCCAAATAACTTGAAACATTAACCCAATCACCGCAGTTCTTGTAAAGATTACATGCAACTTTCTCCACAGGAACTTGATAAAATGAAAACACAGTAAAGGTCAGCTGTTATATTACTTCAGATTTGTGTGAAGCAGTAGAAAATATTTCTGAACGTCAAGAACCAGGTAGGATTTATCATTGTTTACAGTGTCCTCATGGTGTGATGAACGGAGATATGACTTGAAACATTAACCCAATCAACACAGTTCTTGTGAAGATTACATGCAACTTTCTCCACAGAATCTTGATAAAATGAAAACCCAGTAAAGGTCAGCTATTACATTCCTTCAGATTTGTGTAGAAGAATGACTCATGTTGGTGCAGAGAGGGGAAGATTTTAAATCTAAGATATATGTTTATTGAGAAAAGTGAATGGCATTGCTACTCAGTAAGGTTCAGCCAGTGAGATGGTTTAAAAAGAAAGATGCATTACCCAGCTGATGGGGCTAAGTAGTTGAGCACTGACCTGTGAATCAGGAGGTCACAGTTCAAATCCCAGTCAGTGCACATGCCTGGGTTGTGTGCTCAATCCCCTGTGAGGGCATGCAGAAGGCAGCCAGACAATGATTCTCTTTCATCATTGATGTTTCTACCTCTCTCTGCCTCCCGCTAGCCTCTCTGAAATAAATAAAAACATATTTTAAAAAAAAAAAACATAACCAAAAAAGGGTGAAGAGAAGCCGGCACTGAAATAAACCTCTTTCCTTTCACCAGCAAAAATAAAAAACCAAGGGGTGGCAAAACCCAGTGAAATTATCTAGCTTAGGTTCATCACTTTCATCCATGGACAGAGTCAGTGCTAACAAAGCAGTGGGAACATGCACAGTCGGCAAAGAACTAATAATTATGTCATTGCCTCCCTAAGAGGGCCTGCTCTGGACCACATGCACACACTGTGAGTATAGCTTTGCAGAAAGACAGAATTATTCACTCATTTTGTACATGAACAGGAGAAAGCTCTTCATTTAGTAGCAGGAGCCATGAGCTCACAGTGTATTTCACAGCCGGTCTCTGACTGGGATCTACTTCTGTCCTGTTCTTCATCTGTGATCCTGCTTACTGCTCACTTCATACAGAAAGATTAAATGCCCATGAGGAATTGGGGACAGAAAATAGGGACCAGACTGGGCTGATGGAGGTTTGAAGTTCACATGACTAACATCATGATCAGCTGCCTCTGCAAGGCTTTAGCAGAAGACATTGTGAAATGCCTTCACTCTGAGAGTGAGAATCAAGGCCCTCCCACCACTTCCTGTTGCTTGGTGTGACTTTCAGAGAAGTCTGTTCCGCATAAAGGCAGTATCACTGAGGCCAACGGGCCAGAGAGGACCCAGAATCATGTCGGTGGTTCTTCCCATTTTGCTCTATCTCGGTGAGTCAGGACAGAGGGGTCGGGGTGCAAATACATGGCTACGAGGGCAGGTCAGAGGTTCCATAAGGCCGGGCTGTTCTCCAATATGAATGAGCAAACAAAACATAAACAGACTCACAGACACAGAGAATAGACTGAATGTTGCCAGAGGAGAGTGTATGGGGACTGGGTGTAAAGGTGAAGGGATTGAGAAGTATAGATTGGGAGTTACAGAATACTCATGGGGGTATAGAGTACAGCATAGGAAATATAACCAATAGTATTGTAACCAGTATGTATGGTGCCAGGAGGGTACTGGACATAGCAAGGGGAATCACTTCATAATGTATATGATTGTCTAACCACTAGGCGGTACACCTGAAACTAACATAAAATAATATTGAATGTAAACTGTAATTGAAAATATTAAAAATTTTTAAGACGGAGTTGTTCTCACCCAATGTTTCCCTCCAGGATTGTATCTCACCCAGAGCACTCAGGCTGCGATCGGTGAGTATCCTTTTAATGTTTAAGGATTGAATAGAGTTTGGCCAGATATCAGCTCTCTTGGGGGCTGAGAAGAGGGATCTTGGCATTTAAACTCGTGGCTATAAAGATGAGGACATGGAGGATGGCATGAGAAACAGATACAGCTGTAAATTTATTACCTGTTTTTCTAGCACAGCATCGCAAACCTGTTATCACAGCTCAGCCTGGATCCGGGGTTCGATATAATCAACCAGTGACCATCCGATGCCAAGGGCCTCCATATGCTGAAGCCTACAAGATATGTAAAAAGATAGAACCTCAGCCTAGGAATGGAAGTAAATTCCTGGTGGCTGGTAGGACCAACACTTTATATATCCAAAAGATGAAACGAGACAATATAGGACTGTACCGCTGTTCCTATATGGGAGCTGGATTCTGGTCCCCCCTCAGCGACCCCCTGCAACTGGCCATGATAATGGGTGAGTGAGACCCAGGCAGCAGGGCCGGGAGAGACCTCTTTGCAGAGGGAGAACCAGGCTCTGAGATATGGAGCAGGAAGCCTGCCTCTAGGAAGGCATCAGGGATGATGCAGAGACACATTCCCGCAGGGCTGGACATGGAGGGGATAGAAGCCAGAGGCACATCTGCTGCTGGGGACAGGAAGGGACGTGGCCTCCCCTTTATCAGCAAACTTCCTTCTTTATCTGGATCTTATGACAAACCCTCACTCTCAAGCGTGAGTGGCACAGTGGTGGCTTCAGGAGACCATGTGAAGTTACAGTGTTTCTCCAACACCACGTTTCTTATATTTATTCTCAACAAAGAAGATGCACTTCTCACCAATCAGACACAAAGCTGACAGTCCAGAACAATGGACAACAGACCACCTTCCACATGGACCATGTCATGTCCACACAGGCAGGGACCTACAGATGCTACGGTGCCTTCAACAAAGACCCCTATGTGTGGTCTCACCCCAGTGACCCACTGCAGCTTGTGGTCAGAGGTGAGGAAGGCCCTCCATCCCCACGTCCTCTTCTGGAGATGACACTGTCCACTTAGGGAGTGACTGGAAGAAAGAGAAGAGTCTGGTGGGAAGCCCTTGGCAATAACCATCTGCTTCCACAAAAGCCACAAGCACCCCACCTGCACACACCACACAGGCCTCCTAGAAATAGCCAGGGGAAACACTTTTGAAGCATATGATTATCTAACCACTAGGCGATACACCTGAAAATAATGCAAAGTGATAGTGAATATAAACTGTAATTGAAACTTTAAATATTTTTAAAAGCCTAAGCCATTCTCACCCAATGTTTCTTTCCAGGGTTGTGTCCAGCCCAGAGCACTCAGGCTCAGAATGCTGAGTATCCTCATAATGTTCATGGATGGAGTAGGGTGTGGCCAGATATCAGCTCTCTTGGGGGCTGGGAAGAGGGATCTTGGCATTTAGAATTGTGACTAAGAGGGGAGGTAGACGAGGGTGGCATGAGAAACAATTACACCTGTAAATTTATTATGTTTTTCTAGTTGGGCTGACCGCACCTGTTATGAAAGCTCTGCCTGGACCCATGGTTTTATATAATGAACCAGTGACCATCCTGTGCCAAGGGCCTCCAGATGCTGAAGCCTACAAGATATATAAAGTGGAAGAACTTGAGAATAGGGAAGAAAGAAAATTGTTGGTGGCTGGGAAACCTAACACTTTCTCTATCCAAGAGATGAAAGCAAACTGGACAGGACTGTACCACTGTTCCTACGAGAGTGGAGGATTCTGGTCAACGCCCAGTGGCAACCTGGATCTGGTGATGACGGGTGAGTGGGACCCAGGCAGCAAAGCCGGGAGGGACCTCTTTGCAGAGGGAGAATCAGGCTCTGAGATACGGAGCAGGAAGCAGCAAAGCCTCTACCTCTAGGAAGGCATCAGGGATGATGCAGAGACACATTCCCTCAGGTGGGACACGGAGGGGATAGAAGCCAGAGCCACATCTGCTCCCGGAGAACAGGAAGGGACGTGGCTTCCCCTTTATCAACAACTTCCTTCTTTCTCAGGATCTTATGACAAACCCTCACTCTCGAGCATGAGTGGCACGGTGGTGGCTCCAGGAGACAATGTGACGTTACAGTGTTTCTCCAGAATCAAGTTTTATGCATTTATTCTCACCAAAGATGGGGCACCTCAGTTCACCCACAGACAAAGCTACACAGTCCAGGACGATGGACTTCTGATCACCTTCCACATGGACAATGTCACCTCCACTCAGGCAGGGACCTACAGATGCTACGGTGGCTTCAACAAAAACTCCTCTATGTGGTCTCACCCCAGCGACCCATTGCAGCTTATGGTCAGAGGTGAGGAAGCTGGTCCATCCTCACATCCCCTTCTGAAGATGACACTGTCCACTTAGAGCAGGGACTGGTGGGAAGCCGTGTCCACCCCATCAGCTTCCACAAAGGCTATGAGGTCCTCACCCCTAATCAGACCAGGTAGGAATTTGAGCACAGATAAAACATAACATTCCCATTTCATCCCCATTTGCAGAAGCTGCTGACAATTCTGATCCCACACAACCCAGCCGTTCTCGTGGTGAGTAACGGGTAGTCTTTTTTTTTTTTTTAGTGTAAGAGACCATTTATTGGGTAAATTACAGAGGTAGAAGTAAGTCCTATAAAAAAGGGCTTAGGAATCAAGTCATGAAGGTAAAGCAATGGCCCATGGAGCTTGGCAGTGAGGAAGCTAATGGTGAGGTGCCTGGTGGGAAAAATGGGAAAGAGAAAGGGAAATGGAGAAGCAAGACAATGGCACAGGCATGGTATCTGGATGGAGAGTGCCAACTGGTAGCCTTTGCAGAAGGAGCAGGAAAGGTGAAGGAAGATTAGCTGCAAAGAGAAATAGGGAGAAAAAAGATTCAACTAAAGACACAAGGAATATCAGGGAGTTCATTCCCCATCAGCTGAGTCAATAGTTTGCAGAGGGGCATCCCAAAGGACCAGGCAGGGCTCCCATGGAGAAGACTTAAAGCTCCCCACCCAGTCCCCACCCCTGCCTTTCATGACCCCAGAATTCCTTAGTGCAATCACCACAGGGCTCATAATGACCAGAAGAAAGAAGGCAGATATTGCTTATGCAGAAGGTGGCTGGGCAGCGACCTCCCAGATCCAGGAGACTGGAGACATGAGCTCAGGTGGAGGACACCTTCCTGCGATGGGCTTGGGCTCCTCCTCTGTGACCTCTGTCCTTTCTCTCTCAGGACCTGCTGGTTGGAGTGTGTCCCCCCAGAACCAAGTCCGGCTGAGCCTGGCTGGCCTGGTTCTCTTGGTCCTGGTGGTCCTGGTGGCGGAGGCCTGCTACAGCCACAAGAGGTCCTTCTATGGACTCAGATCAGCTCCTTACCTGAGCATCATGACAAACACCGAGGATACTCGTGGCTTCTAAGGACAGTGTTGACCTGAGGGGCGGGTGACCGGAGGAAACCAGGCTCTGGCTGTGTTGTCTACCAGAAGATGGGGTGTGTCTGTCTCCTGCAGAATCTGTCACAATGTCCCAACATCACAATGAATTAATGCAGTACTAATGGGTTCTCTTTGAGGTCTGAAGAGCAAATGCCTAAAATGTGTCCACTGGCCTGCATGGCTTTTTTTGTAACTGATCTTTTATTGTTGGAAATATTACAGATGTTCCTATCTTTTCCCCATGGACCCCCTCCAACCTGCACCCATGCCCCCACCCAGGACTTCACTGCATAATAACCTGTGTCCATGGTTTTTGCATATGTGCATGTAAGTTCTTTGGTTCATCTCTTCCCAAACCCTGACCCCATTTGTCTGAGACTCATCAGGCTGTTCCATGCTTCTATGTCTCTGGATCTATTTTGTTCATCAGTTTATTTTGTTCATTAGATTCCACATAAGAGTGAGATCATGTGGTACTTATCTTTCTCTGACTGGCTTAGTTCATTCACCATGAAAAATTAAAAGGGACCTTCCATTTGACCCAGTGGTCCCACTCCTATGAATATATCCTAAGAAGCCCTATATACCAACCAGAAAGAATATATGCATCCCTGTGTTGATATCAGTGTTATTTGCAATAGCTAATATCTGGACACAGCCCAAGTGCCCACCAGTAGATGAGTTAATACAAAAGTTTTGGTACATTCACACAATGGGATACTATGCAGCTTTAAAAAAAGAAGAAGCTATGCTATTTTTCATTAAATTTATTGTGATGACATTGGTTAATAAGATTATATAGGTTTAAAATGTACAATTTTATGATACATGATCTACATATTGCATTGTATACTCCTCTGCCATGAGAGCAGATGAAATACTGCCATTCATGGCAACATGAATGGACCTTGAGAATATTATGCTAAGCAAAATGAGTCCATCAGGAAAAGCTAAGAACTGTATAATTTCACTCACAGGTGGGATATAAAACTGAAACTCATAGACACAGACAACAGTATGGTGATTACCAGAGGGAAGGGAGTGGAAGGGCAAAGGGGACCACCCAGCATGGCTTCTTGGTTGAGCATCAACCTATGAACCAAGATGTCACTGTTTGATTCCCTGTCAGGGCACATGCCCAGGTTCCAAGCTCCATCCCCAGTGTGGGACATGCTGGAGGCAGCCCATCAATGATTCTCTCTAACCATTAGTGTTACTATCTCTCGCTCTCTCTCAATCTGCATTCCTCTCAGAAATCAATAAAAATATATCTTTTTTAAAAAGGGGGTAAAGGGGACCAAATAGATGGTGACCTAAGAGGATTTGACTTTGGGTGGTATGGTGGCTCCTCAAAAAATGAAGAATAGAGTTATCGCCCAGCTGCTATGGCTCAATTGGTTGAGCATCATTTCAGGCACCAAGAGGTCGCTGGTTCAATTCCAGGTTGGGTCACATGCCTGGGTTGCAGACTCAATCCCCAGTAGGGGGGTGCAGGACATAGCTGCTCAATGTTTTTCTCTCTCTCCCTTTCCCTCTCTCCCTCTTCCTTCTTTTCTCTCTAATATAAATAAAACATAAATGAGAGAGAAAGGTGGTATAGATGATTCATAGATAGATAGTTGGATGATAGGGAAATGTAATAAATTATATATAGATACATAGATAGTTATAGATAGATATATACATGATAGAAGGTAAGTAGATGAGAGAGAGAGAGCTCGTATGAATGATAGATAGATAGATAGATAGATAGATAGATAGATAACAAAAAACAGATGATAGATAAATATAATATATTATAGATAAATACTATTAGTAACAGATGGAAATATACATGATAGAAAGGTAGGTAGACAAAATATAAAGAAAGAGACACAGAAATACAAAGGCATATTTTGTCCCAGTGTCAAAGAAAAGAAAGTCTTATCTAACCATTTTGACTGTCTGCTCCTTCCTCTCGGTTGGAATCTTCCATTATCTTCTTAATCCTGAGAAAACTCCAATTTCTCATCTGCGATTAAATCACCTTACACCCTCTGCTCTATGCCCAGGCCATACACCAATGGCACAAACACAGGGTCTCACTTCCTCAGCTAATTGAACCGGTTGTGGTGATGCTGGGGTTAAGCTTATATGGATGTTGACTGAAACACCACAAAAACAGGGAAACACTAGAAGCAGCAGGAAATATTTCTGAACATCAAGAACCAGGTAGTATTTATAGTCTACAGTGTCCTCAGGGTCTGAGGAATGAAGACATGACCAAATAACTTGAAACATTAACCCAATCCACCATAGTTCTTGTGAAGTTTATGTGCAACTTTCGCCACAGGAACTTGATAAAATGAAAGCCCAGTAAAGGTCAGCTGTTATATTACTTCAGATTTGTGTGGAAGAGTGACTCATGTCTGGGCAGAGAGGGAAAGATTTTAAATCTAAATTGTGTGTTTATTGCGAAGAGTGGATGGCAAAGCTACTCAGTAAGGTTCAGCCAGTAAGATGGTTTAAAAACAAAGAGGCATTGCCCAGATGATGGGGCTAAGTAATTGAGCACTGACCTATGAACCAGGAGGTCACAGTTCAAATCCCAGTCAGGGCACATGCCTGGATGGTGGGCTTAATCCCCTGTGTGCAGCATGCAGGAGGCAGCCAGACAATGATTCTTTCTCATCATTGAAGTTTCTACCTCTCTCTCCCTTCCCCTTCCCCTCTCTGAAATCAATAAAAACATATTTTTTAAAAAATAACCAAAAAAGGGTGAAGAAAAACCGGCACTGAAATAAACCTCTTTCCTTTCACCAGCAAAAATAAAAGAACCAAGGGGTGGCAAAACGCAGTGAAATTACCTTGCTTAGGTTCATCACTTTCATCCACAAACACAGTCAGTGCTAACAGCGTGGTGGGAACATGCACAGTCGGCAAAGAACTAATAATTATGTCATTGCCTCCCTAGGAGGGCCTGCTCTGGACCATATGCACACACTGTGAGTATAGCTTTGCAGGAAGACAGAATTATTGACTCATTTTATACATGAACAGGAGGAAGCTCTGCATTTAGAAGCAGGAGCCATGAGCTCACTAAGATTTCACAGCCGATCTCAGACTGGGAACTACTTCTGTCCTGTTCTTCGTCTGTGATCCCGCTTACTGCTCAATTCATACAGAAAGATTAAATGCCCATGAGGAATTGGGGACAGAAAATAGGGACCAGACTGGGCTGTTGGAGGTTTAAAGTTCAGATGACGAACATCATGATCAGCTGCCTCTTCAAGGCTTTAGTAGAAGACATTGTGAAATGCCTTCACTCTGGGGTTGAGAACCAAGGCCCTCCCACCACTTCCTCTTGCTTGGTGTGACTTTCAGAGAAGTCTGTTCCGCTTCAAGGCAGCATTGCTGAGGCCAACGGGCCAGAGAGGACCCAGAATCATGTCGGTGGTTCTTCCCACTCTGCTCTATCTCGGTGAGTCTGGACAGAACGATCGGGGTACAAGCACAGTGTTACTGGGGCAGGTCGGCGGTTCTCTAAGGCGGGGCTGTTCTCCAATATGAATGAGCAAACAAAACAGAAACAGACTCACAGACACGGAGAACAGACTGACGGTTGCCAGAGGAGAGTGTATGGGGACTGGGTGTAAAGGTGAAGGGATTGAGAAGTATAGATTGGGAGTTACAGAATACTCATGGGGGTGTAGAGTACAGCATAGAAAATATAGCCAATAGTATTGTAACCAGTATGTATGGTGCCAGGAGGGTACTGGACATAGCAAGGGGAAGCACTTTATAATGTATATGAATATCTAACCACTAGGCTGTACACCTGAAACTAATACAAAGTGATCATGAATGTAAACTGTAATTGGAAATTTTTAAAAAAATGTTTTAAAGCCTGAGCTGTTCTCACCCAATGTTTTCTTCCAGGGTTGTATCTCGCCCAGAGCACTCAGGCTCAGAATGGTGAGTATCCTTTTAATGTTCAAGGGCTGAGTTCGGTTTGACCAGATATCAGCTCTCTTGGGGCTGGGAAGAGGGGTCTGGGCAATTAGACTCGTGGCTGTAAAAGGGGAGGAAGTGGAGGGTGGTATGAGAAGTAGATACACCTGTAAATTTATTTCCTGTTCTTCTAGGATATATCCTCCCACCTGTTATCAGAGCTCAGCCTGGACCCATGGTTCTATCTAAGAAACCAGTGACCATCCTGTGCCAAGGGCCTTCACACGCTGAAGCCTACGAGATATATAAAGAGAAAGAACCTGAGCCTAGGGATGGAAGGAAATTACTGGTGGCTGGGAAGACCGACACTTTATATATCCAAGAGATGAAACCAGACCGGACAGGACTGTACCGCTGTTCCTATCAGAGTGGAGGACACTGGTCCCCGCTCAGTGACATCCTGCGTGTGGTGATGACGGGTGAGTGGGACCCAGGCAGCAAAGCCGGGAGGGACCTCTTTGCAGAGGGAGAATCAGGCTCTAAGATATGGAGCAGGAAGCAGCAAAGCCTCTACCTTGAGGAAGGCATCAGGGATGATGCAGAGACACATTCCCTCAGGGCGGGACTCGGAGAGGATAGAAACCAAAGCCACGTTTGCTCCCTGGTAATAGGAAGGCACAGCACTGGACATGGCTTCCCCTTTATCAGCAAACTTCCTTCTTTCTCAGGATCTTATGACAAACCCTCACTCTCCAGCATGAGTGGCACGGTGGTGGCTCCAGGAGATAATGTGACGTTACAGTGTTTCTCCAGAATCAAGTTTGATTCATTTATTCTCACCAAAGAAGATGCACCTCAGTTCACCCAGAGACAAAGCTCCACGGCCCAGGACAATGGCGTTCAGACCACCTTCCACATGGACAGTGTCACCTCCACACAGGCAGGGACCTACAGATGCTATGGTGCCTTCAGCAAAGACCCGTATGTGTGGTCTCACCCCAGCGACCCATTGCAGCTGGTGGTCAGAGGTGAGGAAGGCCCTCCATCCCCACGTCCCCTTCTGGAGATGACACTGTCCACTTAGGGAGTGACTGGAAGAAAGAGAAGAGTGTGGTGGGAAGCCCTTGGCAACACCGTCTGCTTCCACAAAAGCCATGAGCACCCCACCCGCACACACCACGCAGGCCTCCTAGATATAGCCAGGGGAAACACTCTTTGAAGCATGTGATTATCTAACCACTAGGCTGTACACCTGAAAATAATAACAAGTGATGGTGAATGTAAACTGTAATTGGAAATTTAAAAATTTTTTAAAGCCCGAGCCATTCTCTTCCAATGTTTCCTTCCAGGGTTGTATCCAGCCCAGAGCACTCAGGCTCAGAATGCTGAATATCCTCATAATGTTCATGGATGGAGTAGGCTTTGGCCAGATATCAGCTCTCTTGGGGGCTGGGAAGAGTGGTCTTCGCATTTGAACTCCTGGCTGTAAAAGTGGAGGAAGTGGAGGGTGGCATGAGAAGTAGATACACCTGTAAATTTATTACCTGTTCTTCTAGGATATCTCCTCCCACCTGTTATCACAGCTCGGCCTGGACCCATGGTTCTATATAATGAATCAGTGACCATCCTGTGCCAAGGGCCTCCAGACGCTGAAGCCTACGAGATATATAAAGTGGAAGAACCTGAGCCTAGGGACAGAAGGAGATTACTGGTGGCTGGGATGACCAGCACTTTATATATCCAAGAGATAAAACGAGACCAAGCAGGACTGTACCGCTGTTCCTATAAGAGTGGAGGACACTGGTCCCTGCTCAGTGACATCCTGCGTGTGGTGGTGATGGGTGAGTGGGACGCAGGCAGCAGGGCCAGGAGGGACCTCTTTGCAGAGAGAGAAGGAGGCTCTGAGATATGGAGCAGGAAGCAGCAAAGCCTCTGTCTCTAAAGGAATTCTGAAGGCATCGGGGATGATGCAGAGACACATTCCCTCAGGGCGGGACTCGGAGAGGATAGAAACCAAAGCCACGTTTGCTCCCTGGTAATAGGAAGGCACAGCACTGGACATGGCTTCCCCTTTATCAGCAAACTTCCTTCTTTCTCAGGATCTTATGACAAACCCTCACTCTCCAGCATGAGTGGCACTGTGGTGGCTCCAGGAGACAATGTGACGTTACAGTGTTTCTCCAGAATCAAGTTTGATTCGTTTATTCTCACCAAAGACGATGCACCTCAGTTCACCCAGAGACAAAGCTCCATGGCCCAGGACAATGGAGTTCAGGCCACCTTCCACATGGACCGTGTCACCTCCACAGAGGCAGGGACCTACAGATGCTACGGTGTCGTCAGCAAAGACCCGTATGTGCGGTCTCACCCCAGCGACCCATTGCAGCTTGTGGTCAGAGGTGAGGAAGCGATCCATCCATAAGTTCCCTCCTGAAGTTGATGATGTCCAGTTAGAGCAAAGACTGGGTAAAGGAGGAGAGTAGCCTGGGGATTGTTGTCAGCACCCTCTTCTTAGACACGAAGCTGTGAGGTCAACCTCACCCCTTGCCCACCATGCAGCCCTCTTATCACACGTTCAGGGCCGGGGAGGGCATGTAGGTCATTGTGAGTCTGTGTAGGGAGAGCCTGAGAAGAAATGGAGTAACCACCTTCATTTCATCTTCGTTTGCAGAAGCTACTGTTGATCCCACATCCGTGGAGCTGGGACATCCACATGGTGAGTGACTGGTTGTGTGGAGAAAGTACATAAAGTAGAAATTTCATTAACCAGGGACAGAGTCGGCTTTTTTTCCTTAATTAATCCTCACTGAGGATGCTTTTTCCATTGATTTCTTTTAATATATTTTATTGATTTTTTTAAAGAGATGAAGGGAGAGGAATAGAGAATTAGAAACATAGATGAGAGAGAAACATCGATCAGCTGCCTCCTGCACATCTCCTACTGGGTATGTGCCCGCAACCAAGGTACATGCCCTTGACCGGAATCGAACTTGGGACCTTACAGTCCGCAGGCCAATGCTCTATTCACTGAGCCAAACCGGTTAGAGCTCCATTGATTTTTAGAGAGAGTGGAAGGGAGGGAGGGAAGGAGTGAAAGAGGGAGAGAGAGAGAGAGAGAGAGAGAGAGAGAGACATCGATATGAGAAAGACACATCCATTGGTTGCAGGGCCTGGGATGGAACCTGCAAACCAGGTATGTACCCTTGACCGGAAATCAAACTCAGGACCCTTGCAATGTGCAGGTTCATGCTCTAATCATGGAGTAACACTGGCTACGGCCAGAGTCAACATTTTAAGAGGACCTCTGACGGCTGGAGGAGGCAGAGAGCATACAGATGAAGGAGGTCAAGCTGTTTTCCATTGGGAGAGCAGAAGGCTAAACGGTCTGTGGGGGGAAAATAACATCTGTAGATTCCACAGCCACCTTTTATCATTGATCCACATGCCAATACTTCTGAGAGCATCT